GAGAAGCGATAATATGTATTGCGATTGAAGCGGTAGAATTTTTAATTTCTTAAATAATTCTCTACATGAATCTCTACTTCTACATCCTGTAATGATTCTTATTATATTCTTTTGTATTTTAAAAATTATTACACTATGTGAAGAGTTCCCCCAAAATATTAATCCATAGTTCATAATAGAATGAAAGTAGGCATGGTAAACCATCTTCAATGTTTCCTGTGACATAAAAGGCTTAATTGATCTCATCGCATAGCAAGCTGCATTTAATTTAGGTATAATTTGTTCAATATGTATTTTCCAAGACAGTGTACTGTCTACATGTATTCCAAGGAATTTTGTATCAAGTACTTTACAGATTAATTTGTTGGCATAACTGATGTCCAGATCAATTTGGTGGTTGTTAGGACCACATATAAGGACCACATAAAAAAGAATAAAACTAAATCAGGACATTCACAGCAAAGGTTGAAAATTTGCCAATCATACAAAAGACTGAGGATGTAGTGGACATTTTGCATGTAAACAAAAACAGACCTCTTCAAACATACTCAAGCCATTTCACATTTATGACAACACACAAATATGTACTTAATGATGCCTGTGGATATGTGTATAACCCAATATTTGGTGCTGTAATTGCTAATAAAAGTAGCATAGCATGGCATAGCGTAGAAAATAGTACAGTGGGTCTCTACACATGAATCCACAGCCAGCTACATCACACAGGACTTTTTAACTACCCCATCTTTATCAGCTGTCTAGTCCCACATAATTTCCCCAGTAGCTGGAATGTTCATATACTGTTTGTTTACTATAAAAACATATTTTTTATTTCATTGGTGATTCAGTTTGCAACTAGCAACATAGATATTCAACTAGAACATAAATACTACTAATATAATATGTATTAAGTTGTATAATAAACACAATTGTAAAATAATTTTAAGAATTTTAAGAACTTCCATTCCAAACATCAGTTTTACACTTAGAAACATTCTTATTACATTACAAATGGACCATCCTCTTTTAACACAACTGAATGAATAATATTAAGATATGTGTTCATGTATAAGTCTTATGATGATATTTATTATATACCAAAACCTGTGACCTATATTTGATGTGTAAAAAGTTGTTACTTTACAGAAGTGGATGCAGGCAACTTCTATAACCAAGACACTCTGGTGTACTACAGTTGAAATTAATACAAACTAATTTTATTTTATTTTAGAGGAAGACTGCTACAATTGCATGGTAAGCTTGATAGCTGCCAAGGATAAGATGTTCACCCAGACAAAGCAGCTGTATGAAGTAACATGGAGAACTGTCATGCAGATCGCCAAGAAGCATGTGGTAAGTGTGTGATTTAGATTTCTTAATATAGACACTTGCACATTTCTACACTAAAAGTTTTAAAGTGAATTTAATTTTGGTTCATATTGGTCCAGTTTATCCCCTCCTGAACACTAGCATCTACAGCATGCCCATAAACTTTTGCAGTACAGGCTACAGTCACCGTAAGTGTACTTATTGTAGGATTGCTTGTAGTGGTTCTGCTGCCATCCTGAGTGATGTGGTATGATATGCCTTAATAAATTGTGTACTGTAGGCGACATCATCATTTGAATAAATCATAGATGGATATGCTTAACAGTTACAGTGACAGTTTTGATATCTGCTGAATCCAAAAAAAAGTTCCTTCATTAATTTTGTTTGTGATCTTCAGCACATTATTTTCTAGATAATTAAGTAAGTAAAAAAGCAAATCTATCCCTGTAACAGGCCGTGAAGGCCCATAGGGTTGTGAGACGTTGAGGATTCCACATTTTCTAGACAATCAGCTCAAAGATGACGGTAAGGTTGTCAGCCTTATGTGCTGGCCGTGCTTTACTCCCCAGGAAGATTATTTAATTAATTCCTGGTACTCATTTCTGTTAGAGGCTGAGTCGACCCCAGGGCCATAGTGCAGCCAGAAGGATTAGGTCAATTGAAAAAATCCAATGACCTCATCGGGACTTGAACCTGCGACCTTCCGGCTTGTAGCATAGCCCCTCTACTTCCTTCTAAATCCATTCACTTAATCCAGCTGTCATTGTACCATCCAACACTATATACTTTCAATACTGAAACCATCATAAAATAACTGATAAAAAGAAGCAAACTGTGAGGTTTATGGACAGACAGAGACTTGTTTGTCAAATACATGTAGACTTCTACTTGGGTTACTTATTTCCCTTCCTGTCAGTTTGGTTCTGGATGCAAGATGAATCTGATGACATGAGTAAAAGAAAGAGATTGGGCTACAAATATGTCATTTGCACGTAACACCTCCTAATACTAGACATTGTTATATTGAGCACGTTAGTGGAACTTGTGACTCATCATACTTGCATTTGGGATATTCTTGGTTTGAATCCAATCCTGGCACTGACCGCCTTAATTGAGGTTTGGTATAACTTTCTCTGTTTATCCAGATGAAAGCCAGTACAAGTCACAATAACGGCTTTGTGGATTCCTCCTGATTCATAATTGAGAATTGTAGTGTACTTACCCTTCTGGCTAGAAGTAGACCCTTTCATGTGTGCAAGCAACGAGAGAGTATGTGTTATTTCTTTTTTTATTTCGACTATGAAATTTCCTGACTACTGGGCCATAATATTATGTGATTACTGAATTTTCATAAAAATTGTTAGTAGTAGAATTGTTGAAATTTAGTTTTATTGAATTCACAATCACAAGTAGCCAAAAAACATGTACTAACTCAGACCTACAAATGGAATTCATATTAAAATAATCCTGTTATCAGAACAGATGACAGACAAATTGTGACCATATTGAAACTGATAGTTTACTTAATGACACTTTCGGTATTGAGACTATATTGTGTCAAATGGTAGGATGGCTGATGATTTAAAAGGAATTTGGAAGGAAGCAGTTGTGGCTTAATCAAGGTACTATCCCTGTATTTACCTGGCAGTGGGGCCCTAAAGAAAACCACAAAAAGCCACAGCCAAGATAACCAATGTCTTGATTGAGATTCAGACAAAGCATCTTGCAAATATGAATCTAGGGCTTAGCTTTTTGACCAACCTGTACAGTATACAGAAAATGCAATTGTGAATTAATTCTGTCAAAATACAAATGTAAGTCATCTTGCATTAAAGTTCTTTTGGTGCTATCAGCAATAACTCTGTCTTTAGTACAAATGTTGCACTGTCACGTTAGGCCACATAATCTTAGTAGTTTCTGTAGTATTGCTTTGCATGTATTTATATGTTTGCTCTTGTATGGTATTTATCCTTGTTTCATTAATTTATAAATATTTTGTTTGAGGGCAATTATATGTATTTATTTACAGATTTGATTGTGATTTGTAATTTTTGTTGGAACATGTATAAACAATGTGTGGCCGATTTCATTGCAGAAATCTGCTGCTGTACATCTGGCAAGACACTGTCCCAGTACTCGCACTGAACGCATATTCATGGACTGGCTGTGGTGGATCCTGCAAGGACTTCCCTTTACTCACTTAGTAAGCTTTTGGGACTTCATTTAAATAAGTGCACTGCTGCTTACAATTGCGGTGCTGACTTGTTGCTCAAGCATCCAAATACAGAAAACCCTGAGTGACAAAATATTTGTGTTTCATATATAGAAGCTTTTTTACTTTGATACTGAAGAAACGACAGGTTTTCCTTATTTTTTTACCTCACTTTATAGCGAATTAACCAGAGCTATTGAAGTTCCATATATGTAACTGAATATGTAATATACAATGCACATGTTATAATACAGAACACAACAGGTTCGGGAATTCTGCCAGACCTAGCATCAAATATGTTGTCACATGCTTGTGACTGGACATGGTTTGAATTAATAATTTGGATATACTGGATTCATATAACTCATAGCTACAAATAATTATAACTCTTTCACTAATGTAGACACTCCACAAATTACTACTGCAAACACTAAGTTTTCTTTGTCTTCACGAGCTGTTGCTTGGTAGCATTGTCTAATGATGTAACTCAAGATTACAGACTGGTAACTGCCAATTCCGACTGTAAACTTCTATCTTGTGACTCACAGCTAACTGTGGACTCAGACCGAAAGCCAAAGTCACATTATGACTGATGGTCAGTCAGTCAGTCAGTAATGGGGCTCAGTACCAGATATTTATTAGTGTTTGACAGTTATGACCTTGTTTTTATGGGGCACCCACTCTGATAAGAGTGTATAATAGACAAATTGTTTTGGTGAAGGTGGTTTACCAACATGGGGAGTGACAGTTTTGCATAAAATTTATTGCAGATCACCAGGCAGGTCTGCAGTTAACAAACAGCTTATAGGCAGTGTCACGTAACTTCAAACAAGGCCCCGCATTCCTAGTCAAATCCCGCGCATAGCTCATCGTGGGAGGAGTTTCTTAACACTCGTTCTTCCACTGGCCACCTGTCACTTCTCACACCCTCCACTCCCTTGTCTGAAATTTTTCTTCTACCCATTCAAGGTTACTCTTGGCCTTGTTCGAAGTTACGTGACACTTGTTATAACATGTTCTTCAAATGGTCCTTTCCCTTATTTCCAAATACTGTGAAATGCTCATTTAAGGTTTCTTTGGAGAGAAGTGGATTTGAACACTAAAACTGAGGAAAATGTCAAGTGGAGGGAATTTAACTCTGGGATTTTTACTTGGGATCACTGAAGTGGAGCATTAGATGAGGAAAAACCTTAAACCAGTGAACACTGAATGGATGTTAAATTGTATTCTCCTTAGCATCATTTTCTTAGACCTCTTCAATATATATATACTTCCTTGAGGTTGAGGTACTAAGTTTCATGCTCATACAAAATATCAAGTAAAATATTTGTATATATCACCTCTCTGTAGAGCTATAAAATGCTGATGCGTTCGAGAAATAAATGAACTACAGGCTTTCAGAAGTAATGTAGCCTGAAATAAATTTATTATGTTCCCATTGTCTGCAGCAAGAGCCACTAAAACTTGGAGCTGCCTTCTTGCCATGAATGCATTCTTACTATTAAAATATAATTAATTTTGTTCTTAAAATGATAACTTTTGTTTCCAACAGGTTCGAGTGATGGACTGTTTCTTCAATGAAGGAATAAAGGTTCTTTATCGTGTTGCCATGGCAATAATGTTGCTGTTCTACAAGTACTCAGCACCTCAACGTTCTGAGTGGATGAATGAAATTTTAACCACTGGAATTGACTCTGCCCTCACCAAGTTCTGTAAACAAATCCCGGTAAACTACAAATGCATTGGAACAAGTTGTAGCCTTAGAGTAAGAGCGTAGGCGTATTCAGTATTCAGTGCTGTGAGTTTCTCTGCAGTCTTAGACCCTTTTGTAAATGCTGTTTCTTCTTTGTGATGAATCCTTTACTGTAAATTTTAGCATTATGAAGTCAACATTGGACCACAAAGGATTTTAGGGATATAGACTGCCTTCTTTTCATATGCTGATAAAGTTTATCCCTTACTGCTTTGGGTACTTTGGGCTATAAGTATTCTTTGTCAAGATAACAGACATTATTAGTGTGATTTAACACTTCACATTGCTTGAGGTTTGTAAACTGCTGAAAAAACATACCCTTCTACATTAGCTGAGTATTTTCTTCATTCAGACTGGAATAGAATAGAGCAGAAAGGATAAGGGCAGTGTTGTTGGTTGTCTGGTCTCTCACCACTTAGGTCCTTGCTGGCCCAAGCAGGGTTTAGAGGGAAGAAAGCATATTTTTTAGAGTTTTTTTTTCAGCTTCCATTTGATGATTCCTTTACTTTCACCACTATCAGTATTGTTCTGTAATCATAGTAATTCATTCAACATTGTAAATCAACAAATGTTGCAGTTAATTAGAAAGTTCACAGATATCACTGAATGTAAACTACAAAGCAAGCAGCTGATTGTACATGTTTGTATGGTGTGTGGATTATATAAAATTCCCTAAGAGATTGAATTATGATCACAAAAGTTAAGCCTGAATAATTTTTTTCGGACAGCAACATTTCAGATATTGTGTATGATTTGAGGTTTTCGTAGCAGTGGGATGTAACACCATATAAACCTTTGAAAATCAACTGACATTTCGCCTCCATCTTGAGAGCCTGTTTCATGCTGATTCCTTACTTGGCTTGCTCTTCAAACTTGAAAATGGAGGTGACATGTTCCCCTGAAACATCAGTTGTATTCAACAGATTATGTAATGTTATATCCCAAAAGACAGAACCGTTCATTGCAGATGTTGGAATTGTAATTCTTCTTCTGTGGTTATATCAGTTTGACAAAATACTCGAGAAAAACAGAATTTAAAGAATGCAGTGAGCCCCATTTTGAGCTCTTATTTTAAGTAGAATATGAGATATGAAGTCATATTATGAAAGATGATAGTACCTTATCACCTGATAGGTCATTAATAAACAAGATATATTACTTGTCATACTAGGTTTTCTGGCTTAAAGGAATTGCTATTTTATCATTTCAGGTGTAGTTCAGTGTCAGAGTGCTAGTTTGGAGTGTGGCAGCTGTTCATAATTGCATTATGACCAGTTCAGTAATGAAATTGTAGTACTGTATCTCCAGCACTCAGTCTGCCATAGTCAGTTGAAATGTTATTATACCTCCGCTTCCACTTTAGCACTTTCTGTAGTAAGAATATTTTATTTCTTATCTTAACTAAGGAAATTAAAATATCTTGAATCTTTACATAGGTGACATCTGCCAAACTACTACGTACAGCATTTGGTATTCGAGCATTAAGTTCGGCGTATATCTTGAGAGTTTTCACTAAGACAAAGATGTTGCTGAAGAGCCGAACTGAACTAAGTTACTCCCGATCGCTTGTGAGATCTCGCTCCAGTGACAATCTTCCTACAAGCCAGTCACAAGTCAATATCCAGATGATGTCCCATACACTTACCATTAGAGAGGTAAGTTAAGCATAGTCTATTCTAATGGCCATTGAAGTTGCAATGGAAAATCTGTGATAGTAAATAGTACAATAGATGGAACTAATTCCATATCTTATGTACATGCCCCATGATTCTTTTCATCAGTGCAGAATGTTGAATTTGTCAGTGTTCCAATAGTAGCATCCATCTTCCAAAGTGGCAGCTTGCATCACTAGCTACAGCAGTTGTATTACCATGTAAGGCTGAGACATTTCCTTTTTAAATTAACTGTATGTTAAGCCTTGGATATTGCTGTTTTCTGTCTTTTGTAAGAAAATAAACCTTTAGTCTGTATGATTTGAGGTTCTTACGGCAGTGCCTATGAAGAGTTAGTCTTTTGGGTTGTGGTATTATACACTATGATAAATGTTTACCAGTTTTTCAGAGGAACATATTGCCTCCATAATCAGGGTGGAAGAGTAAGTCAAGGAGGCAAATAACAAGAAACAAGCAGCAAGCTACCCATAAGCTGGAGGCAGTACATTTCTTTGAATAGTTTGTAGTGTTCTTAGATATTGGAATTTGTAGTGTTCTTAGATATTGGAATTAGTCAGATGGGCAGGGTGGAGGGCAATTTATCAGTGAACTGTACAGTTATATATGTGTTATGTGTAAAAGTACAGCATCCAGAGGTGGAACTGCATATATGTAAGAATTAACAAGCAGCATTCTTGGGCATGGAAACTGTCACATTTCTTTCTTAACCTAACAGTCTTGTGTAGTATCTATATTAGAGGTTTACAGGGTGTATCTGTGGTTGTGCTCTATTTTTGTGCTGCCTCAAGGGATCTCATTCTCCAGGAGCCCGGGGCCCTTCTATGGGACCTTACCCTGTATATAACATCAGGTCTCAGGTGGTTAATCAAGAAGAAGTAAGTAGACGTACTTGGGGGATATTTTGCCTGTTGTGCTGCATGGTATGGCTTAAGATGTCAATTATATAAACTGTTGATGCAACCAGAAATGTTGTTACTTATCAGTTTAAGAGTAAGTATTGCCTTTATCTGAAATATTCCCAAATGTGCACTTAACAGGCTGAAAAGTAGGAATTAGATCATGTACGTTATGAATGTGCCCATTATATTCAGAGTTCTGAATGTGCTTGAATATATCAAACCTACAAAAAAACCAGAACAGAAATCCTTCCTTTCAATAAGAAACAGTCAACTTGACAACCTGCTTTGGTCTTATAAGACATCCCTGGATGTTTGTACACGAGAAATGTTCAGGAAGCTGTTGGAATTACAAGCAGAGTACAGTTGTGGTTTTTGAGATAGGTCTGTCTTTTGTTGTGAAGTGAAACTACTGTATAAAAGTATGTAAAATTATTTGTTAGTAAATCATAGATGTATATATTATTGATGTCTGGGTGAGTCATATATTTTTTTAAGGAAATGTGACTTTATTAACAAATAATATTATTAAAGTAACAGTTCATATAACTTTCAGATGTAACTGGTTTCTGCATACAGGATGGTGAGTGGCCTCACATATATCTGATTTTTGGATAGGTCAGCAGATGCAGAAACCAAAATTCAGCTGGCAAGTTATATCAGAGTCTGAACCAGATGTCTGTCATGACGCCACTATAAGCAAAATCCTGCACTTAATTTGAAATGTAGGATTGTTGAAGGGTTAAAATAGAGGAGTATGCACAATAGGTCACAAAAGTCATGGTGCAAGGGCCAACTGTTAGGCCCACTTCTTATGTATGTTTGCATGCATGCATATCAGAATCTGCTTACCCATTCAGGAGTTCATGCATGTACAGCCATTAATTCCTATGGACATACATGAATGCATGCCTTGATAAAACTATGAGTAGAGCTTCAAAGCAATGAAAAAATTTTAATTAGTGTCTTGCACAATTGCATAACTCCACCTGATCCACTCGTTTTACATTTGTTTCGTAAAGCTGTCTTTTTTAGTTAAAAACGTCAGTAGGAACCTGTTTTATAGACTAAATAATTGAAATTGTGTTTTGTGGTATGAAAATAATATGAGAAAAAACACTTAGAAAGATCTGAGCATCAGTGACAGCAGACACATTAAAATGAAATTCATTGTGACTTCTATAAGAAAGAATTAGTAGCAGAACTTTAGGTAAAATGTGTACTTTAGAAAATACACACATTCAAGGACAGTGGATTGAATTGAATTGAATTTATTTACATTCTATAAATCCTAAGCAGGTTGGTACCTTTGGATACAGAAAAAGTCAAAAGGTTACATACATAAGTACAGGCAATTTTAGCTTAAAAATTAATATAACTTAATTTTACATCATTCTCTATTTACATTGAAGTATTCATCTAAAGAGTAGAAGGAATGAGCATGTAGATAATTCTTTAACTCTGATTTAAACTTTTTAGTATCATTGCCCAAGTTTTTAATACTTTGTGGCAGATTGTTGAACACTTTTATGCCAGTAAAGTAGACTCCTTTTTGATATACTGATAAAGTTGATGAG